CAACGAAGACTTTTACTTAGCAATAAAAAGAAACAAATGCACTTTTACAATTTAGTTCCAGCTTTCTCACAATTCATATACAACATTTCTATCGTACATAAAAATTCGCAGCCTAGATATATATTGCACCAATTGTCTCCGTAAATGATTTTTATACTGCTCATATATCATATATTACTGCTTAAAAATTAATGACCCGAATAATTTCTAATTTATCGCCAGCCGTCAGATAAAGCTATATAGAATTGAGTTTGATAAAACGGTTCAGCTCGAATACGAAACTCCTTAAAAGACAGAACGGCACACCTGTGATACGAATCACAGTGTTTCCTCTTATTTTGTCACCGACTCAACAGCTCTCAATGTGTTTCGATCGCGATAACGTACTAGGTAACATCGTGTAATTCTGTCGAACAGAATCTCTGGTTGCACATCGTACGTCGAACCCGGGGAGATTGACTGCTGCGGCAACTCCAGCGGCAATTGACATCAGTTTACTTGCAATATGTTATAATTTAGGTATCATCCAATCACAGGCGAACGATAATGCCGATCCACGTTTATGTAGATAAGCGAGGCTTCGATCGAACAGATTATCGGGTATCGGGCTATAATTTTGTCGAATCGTTGGAATTTTGGCATAAAGATCGCGCGCAAGCCTGCTCTTCCGTTGTTGAATTATTCGGTATAAATTAATGAGCATAAATCTGGGAAAAATTTACTTGAAAAAACGGCAGAAGCAAACACCTTTATTGCAAACGAGAGCGAAGCAAGACTTAATAACATTTTAGTCAAATAAAATGATTATCACCCCGTCCTCGTCGACAGTTTGCATCCTTTTTGTGTGAAAATGTAAAAATTTCTTTGCTTAGTGTTCTTTCACGAAATCAAAATTACTTGCGTCACTTGCAAAATTCAGGAATCAATTTGAATCTTTTCTATTCTTAATAATAGTAATAATAATAATAATTAATTAATTTCTACTCTTAATAATTATAATTATATATTATTACAATATAATAATTCTACTCTTAATAAGAGTAGAATCGTCCGGGCTGAATTGGCTCTTCTCGCTGGTATACCGTGTGCGCCAATGACTTATAAAAGGGTCTTATATGGCGGTGAATCGTGCATGAATCCCGACATATGAAATTGGACAGCATCCTCCCTTTCCCCTACATCCTAACGGCTATTAAACGATGAACAGTATTTAACCCGGGTGCACCGTTCGGGTCAATTTGAATTATAAGCAAACCCTCTTCTTTCCCTAGGAAAAACTAATTCAATACCAACAACCGATATACGTACATATACATATTGACTACTGTATTTTAAAAGTTTCAATAATCTCCACGCGGCAAGGAAATAAGATCGATTGCTATTCGTTTAGCAGATGAAATGAAAGAGACTTAGTAAACTTAAAACAGAAGAGACTTAATAATTTAAATAAAAAGAAATAACACATTATCCACAGACGATTATTTAACAGTTTATTAACAGTTATAACATTTTTTAAAATTTTTTAATATTAATATTTTCAATCGCGAAGCAATAAGGTCGAAAGCTAGCTAGCATAATCTAATAAGTTCTTCTTGAATTGTTATTTGAAAGAACATATATAATTTTCATTCTTTCTCGTTTTACCGCTTTAATTTGACCAATTTTCTTTTACTCGTATCGTCATATTTCAAATAAATACATCCAGTCTACAGTAGAAGTCTGTTATAAAATAAACAATTTTGCTTCGCAAATAAGTTAGTCTCGTCTGATGCAGCATACGTGCAAATTTTGATCATTATAACGATTATGTACTTCGATGATGGATTATAATCGATGTCCTCCAGGTTTCAAGAAAGCATATATACATACGTGTAAAAATAAAATTCAATCAATGCTCGACTAATTTGCGTGATTTACTTTTTCAAATAAAGAAGATACAATTAGTTCTGCGGTTACACATTAATAGAACCGTATAATTATACTTTAGGATTGCGATTGCGTTATGCACTCGAGGAAACGTATACTTAAATAAACTATGTAACACAAATTACAGGATAAGATATTAGTTTTATTTTTTTTCTTACCTTGATTACGCTAAGATAAATAAGTTAGAGCGATTTCATTTTCTCGACGATAACGGGTCCGCTCTGCTGACTCGCAAAAGATCTCGCAAAATTAAATGAGGGCTTTTATTTGTTTGTTTGCAGAGCATTGCAACGCAGGAGGGTGACAAGCTGAAAATAGTTACAACTGTAACCGATGGTCTCGACATCACCCGCATCTACGAGTTCACAGAGACCGGAATGCGAGTGGTTAGTAGATAAACAAAATGAAAATTGCAGTCGACGCGATCGAAACGCGAATATAAATTGCACATCGGTTGCGATTCGCAAAAAAAGTAAAGTATTGAAACGCGATCTCGCGAGTATTCTTCGGGTCACGTGATTAAAAACTGACAAAACTACGAGTAACAAATATTATCGTACCGTTCGCTAATCGTGTGTAATGTTAAACCAAAATTTCGAAGTAACACGATCGATTGTTTACGAAGACAAAAGAAAAAACATAACGCTTGCGCACTGAAATATTATTAGAAATCGTTGTAGATGGCCATCCTTTAATTACTGATTATTTCATTTTCAGGTCGTGTCCTCCAATATGGTAGACGTCACGGCAGTACGCACATACAAGAGGCTCTAAATAACACAAATATTTAGATAAATAAATAAAGTCATTCTTTTCGTATGAATTAAAAATAAAAGATTTTTTACAACTCTGTCTTTACTTTTTCTTCCACCATCAATCGTAATTCTGCTCTGTTGCGTGAAACCTCTCGGACGAACGATAAAAACCGAAATGGAATAAAGAAAGAAACGAAACGGTTATTACACAGAACAAATGAATGTGTGAGAGTAAATATTTCGACCAACACAAGTTTTCCGAATTTGTCGCAAACACACGTTCACGTTCGTATTTGGTTGTTCACCGTGAAATTGTTTTTAGAAAGGTTTACTCTTACCCATGCACGAGTACAAGTGAACAGGACATTTTACAACATTAACAAAAAAAAAAGAAAGCAAATTTGGGGTTACAGATTTTACCGCATGAAAATAACACAGACAAGATATAATAAAGAATACAAATCGAAAGTGATAATATAAGCCTTTGCACAATTAATATATCCACCGACAAGTAAAAACCTCTGCGTTTGTATTATACATTGTTAAAATACTTTTTTTTGTTTACTTCTTTATTCATATTGTTTAGTGGCAGTAGAGATTGTATACTTGTTTTAAAATGTATAATCAGTCACATCCTTAAAAGTGGCAACAAAATGGTCCTGGGAGGGGTGGGGGTCGCAGGGAGGGGACAATTCCATCTAAGTTTATTATCTTACGGGGATCTTGAAAAACTCCTCTTCGCTGGCGTCTATAGTCATCCGGCCGGGAACGTAAGCTTTTCGATGCAGCGGATCTCGCGTGTACGTACAAACTGTTCGCTCGTTCGTTTCGTATTTGTTCGAATTTATTTAATAATATGTATCACATTAACTCATCAAAGTGCTGTACATAAATGGATAGAGAATACATAAGAATGGTATTAATGAATGACAAGTGTATAATATTCTCTTGTAGTATACTCAACTTCGGAATAGGAACAAACAAAAAAAATAAATATATAGTACCGTGTTGTTCGTGTATGTACGTGAGGTGTGTCAGCGTGTACATAGGTATGTGTGTGATATGCCTGTGTATCGATGTGTGTTTAGTAGGTATGCGTGTTTAGTGTACGGTGTCCAGATCCGCATTACTAGATGCGGATGCAGAACGCGTGTTACGTGTAGATAAGTTCTTCTCCATAAAGATTACGACGATTAATCATTTATCAAGTATAATGGACATATAAAATTAAAAAGTATAAAAAGACCGTCCAGTTTCGTGTTTTACAATAAGAATATGTTAAGAAACCGATTCGTGCGGTCAAGTGTGTGACGCGTATAACGCTTCCTTCGGATCTCAAATTTCACATCTCGTCGGGCTAGTTGGTTGCGCCTGTATTTTTCTCATTTTCTCTTCTCACCTCCTTTCCTTTCCTCTCTGATCTCCTCTCCGGTCGCCAATCCGCTTTTTCCCATCGCACATGAGTGTTTCGAATTTTACAGGCCAGTTGCAGCACCACGTGGACACTCCTCCGATTAATCTCAGAGACCGTTTGGAAACGTATTCGATTTATTTACAAAACAACCGATATCCTTTTCCGCATTACTTTTTCGTTTATCTCTTTCTTTCTCTTTTTTGTTTGTATTATCTTCCTCATCCAGCGAGACATCATTGTTTTCCAACACGACTGAAGCAGTCAGAAGCGATAGCATATATTTTGTTTGTTTTTTTTTTCTTTTAAAGGATATGCTCTCTCATACTCTCTTGCTCTCTTTCACACGCATACACCCGCGCATTCACACCATATCTCTTGCTCTCGGTTCTCTATCTCTTAGTTCCTCTAGCATTCGTTCACACTCTCGTTCTTTTTTCGCCAATATAGATAAACGGACTCGTCACTTCATCGGTACATGTACACATTAATATATTATCTTTTATACTTTAACGCTAGTCATTAGTAAAAACTCCTTCCGGTTTCGTTATATGTTCCCTAATAAACTACTTCAGCAGATGTTCTAACTCCTTTCTCGTAAAGAAAGAACAACATTCTCGGTGCGTGACATACGATCAACATAAAGCTAAAGATCGAGAGCCCGGCTGTTCACCGTCGTGGATTCAGTCGGAGCTCATGATCAGTTGGTTGTCGTTCGGCGTGGCCACCGGCGAGAGGTCTTTCTTCGGTACGTCGTCGATGATAGCGTTCATCTCTATCTTCTCGGACACTCCGTTTTGCACAACCTTCGCCTTCTCGGTGGTGGCCGTTTTGCCGCCGATCGATACTTTGCTGGTCACCTTCGACACGGCGGTGACCTTCTTGACGGGCGATGCCGCCGTGGTGGTCTTCGTCGTCGAGGTCATGCGTTTCACGCCGGACGTCGTGGTGGCGCTGCTGGCGCTTTGGCGGCTAGTTGTTTTGGTGGTAGTCCGCGCCATGGAAATCTGTTTGTTGGCTGTCTCCTTCACTTGCTTGTCGATGATCGGAGGCTTGCTCAACGACATACGTGGTTTCGTTGCGTTTGTAGTAGTCGGGGCGCTCTTCGATCTCGTGCTGGATGTGGTCGTCGTAGCGGTAGCAGCGCTGGGCTTCGCGGCTGCGCTCGGTTTGGCGGTCGTGGTGGCGGAAGCGGGTCTCGTCTTTGTTGTCGTCGTCAGGGTAGATGCTTTTGTAGTCGAGGCCTTCGCTGGTGCGGGTTTAGTCGTCGGTGTAGTCTTGGTGACAGTGGAAGTTTTAGTCGTTGCAGTCAATTTGCTTAGAGGTTTCACGTCGCCGTTCGCCGTTGGCTTTTTCTCGCTTGGAGCCGGTTTCGAAGCGGTCGTGGCGGGTTTTGGTTTCGCGGTGGCGGTGATGCCCGACTTAGTAGCGGTTCTCGTTGCGGCGGTTGTTTTCGGAGCCGGTTTGGTTGCCGCCGCTTTGGTGCTCGTTGTGGTCGAAGACACTGACTTCTTCGGGGCGTCCAGATCCTTCGGACGAGCGGTTGCTGTTGTCGCTGGTTTTTTCGCTGCACCGGCCAATGATCGTGTCGTGGAAGTCACCGATTTCGAGGGGGATGTCGGGTTCGATTTCTGCGCGGTTTTCGAAGTTGCGGTTTTCGATGATGGTTTCGTAGCGGCGGCCTTCACCTTCGCTTTGCTCTGGGTCACTGCAACTGCACCCGCTGCGCTTGCTGCGATTGCGGCGGCAGCAGCCGTTACCGTGGCCATCTCTGAGATTTTGGTTTCAGGAGCAGTCTCGGGAACTTTCTCGACTTCGGGCTCTTGGATTTCCGAAGGAATTGCTTCTATCTTTTCTACTTGTTCCAGTTTGCATACCTCTTCGACAGCAGGCTCCGATGCTACCGCGGGCTCTACGATTTCCTTGACTTCCGTCACTTCTTCTACCTTTGGAACTTCCTCCTGGATTTCTGGAACAGCGCTGATCACCGGAACATCATCTGATTTCGGTTGCAACTGACATTCCAAACCTGTGAATTCCTGCATAGACTCGGACAGACACAGTGCTGGTTCTTTCGCTGGTTCTACTACTTCCTGCGGCTTCGTTTCGTGAATCTCGGGCTCTACGACGACAGTCTCTTCCTTTGCCTCGGGAGCTTCTTCGGTCTCGTGCGGGAAAACGGACTTCATGCGACAAATCAGATCATGGAGAACTTGCGGAACTTTCTCCTCGACGTTCTGAGGCGAAGGAGGTGGGGTTGGTTCAGACTCTTCTTCCTTCGACACATGAACCTCCTGCTCTTCGGCGAAGTCCAACAAATTCTCCTGTGTCGGCTGCGGAGATTCGACACGTTTCTCTTCGGCGGGCTGTGCATTCAAGTTTTGATCGACTGGCTCGCATTCTTCCATATCGACAGCAGCCTGTACTCTGCTGAAATCGTTCTCGTTCTCCAGAGACAATTCGCAAACGTCGTTGCTCTTCAACGGAGACAATTCGCAAACATCGCTTCTTTGAATCAGCGGCGAAGATGCGCGAAGACTGTACGCTGGCATGGCCGATAATTCTAAAACATCCTCTACTTCTTGAGACGATGGGACAGAAGAACAAACATCCATCGCTTCTATGGAAGACGCTAAAAGGATGTCAGCCGATTTTTCTATAGGCGACTGGCAGACGTCCATCGTCGGCAATGGAGACGCTTCGAGAATATCATTCGTTTCTACTGGTGAAATTTCGCTGGTTTCGTATTGCTCCGTTGCTGATGGTTCGAGATCATCGGCTTCTTTCTGGGGCATTACAACAGGAGGTGAACAAACATCGACCGCTTCCATGGGAGAGGTTGAACGGATATCATCCGACTTCATCATCACCGGAGACTCGCAAATGTCGCGTGGTTCTGTGACTGTGGATTGATCAATTTCGGCTGATTCTGTAATCTCAGGTTGGTTAACGCTGTCGGATTCGGCAGGGTATGCTTGGGAATCGTAGTGTCCAGGTGTGAATACCAGAATCTCGTCTTGCAGCGTAGGCTCAAGGGGTGCCGAAGGGACTTCATCAGTCTTGGTCTTGATCTCGGTTTCGGTCTCGGTCTCGATCTCGGGCTCGGGCTCGGGCTCGGGCTCGGGCTCGGGCTCGGTCTCAGTCTCGGTCTCGGTCAGAGCAACGAGGTTGCTCTCAATCGCGTCTGGCATCGGCGACAGCGACGAAGGTGAATTCGCTTCCTGGATTTCGCAGGACTTCCTCAGGGGCTCGCCTTCGTCTGGAAGTAGCGCGTCGTCACTGGTTTCTAAAACCCTCGTTTCGTCGATGTTCACGCCAGACGGCGAGAGGGGTGGCTCGTTGTTCACGGAGACGGCTTCTTTTTCCGACTCGAATTCTGCAGAATAATTCTCGGTGAAAGGAGAATGCTCGGATTCGATGACTTCTGGCTGTTTTTCTTGGGAAGACTCCGATTGCATGTTCAGTAAGTCGAAGGGTGATTTCGGTTTGTCCAATTGCTCGGTGAAAACGTCGTCCTCCTGCTGCGAAGAGAAGTTCACGAGCTCTGCAGGCTCATCCGGGAAGGCTGGCGCGTGCGATGGTTGTTCAGCTTTTGGCGATGCCAAGTTTGTCAGCTCAGGATGCAACTCTGGGGATTGTGCCGTTAGTCCGGGCTCCTCCATGCTGCCGTTCTTTTCATCTAGGTCCGTATTGCTGAGATTATGGACTGCATTCAAGTCGACAGCTTTGTTGTACTCGCCGTCGAAATTGTCACCCTTGTCGAACGCTGCCTCGAAGTCGCTAGGCGTGAAGGACATTGCCATGGGATCCTTCGCTATATCGTAGTCGCGTTCGTAACTCGAAAACGATTCGTCCACCGTGGAGATGCCGGTCCTATGGAACTCGGTTGCTGTTAAAAAGCTAGCCGTCGACACGTCACCGAACTCCGCTTTTGTCGACGAGACTTCCGAGTCGTCCATATTACCGGAGAAGCTAATGATCTTTTGTCGCTCGGTGATAAAGTCCGCGTCTTCGTTGCTGTTCTGATTAACGCCGTTCTGATATTCCTCTTTTTCTTCAGACTCGACCTCTCGCGGCCGTTGGCATACTTCCTCTTCGAATTCGCTCTGGCTAGGTACTTGGATGTCATCCATTTGCGGAACCTGTTTCAAAGGCGAACCAGAGATAGGGTAATCTTCCATGAGGTTTATTCGAGTTCCCGCAAACTGAGGTGAGACAGGGACGAACTCCGCCGCATCCGGGTTTAGTTGAAAATCCATGTCTTTTAACTTGTCCTTGTCTTCCGTAAGAGATTCCTCCGCCTCTTCCTCTTTCGTGTCGGCTGTGCGTAACTACGGACAGAAATCGATTACATAGGACGATGGACACTAGTCTTTACATACGTTTATGTACATATATTCAAATCAAGGTTAATTGTCAGTGAATACCAATGAAGATTACTATTTACATATCCTTCCTGACTTTTCTGGGTACAAATGAGTTTGCAAATCTTTAGACCAACACGAGGACAATTCAAGTTTAAATTCTGAATTGATCATGATTCATTACAATCAAATTAATAATAACTGCTTAGAAATATAGTTTATGTTTGCTCTAAGATTTTATAGTTTTGATAAATTAAGATGCTGGTTTCAAGTATTTCTTTTTTTTCTAAATTGGTGTTACACACTCTTGATACAAAATACTCAATGAACCTCTTTCTTAAGCGATACACGCAAGCGATTTATACTATAAATTACTGCCGTCAGCTTGCCCTAAATATCTCCATTGGTATTCGAGAATGTATTCACGAACTCCATATTGCCTAAGATCTGCAACACGAGGAATTGTTAGAATTTTCTAATGAACGAATTCCCAGCAAGAAAACGAAAATCGTATGAAAGAGAAACGACGTTTGACGCATACCTCCGCGTTAAATAGCTCGGGCAACTCTTCCTTCGGAATCACTTTGTCCACAATCTCTAGATCCTCAGAATAGATTTTCAAATCGTTGTCTTCGATAGGAACTTCTGAACTCTCGATTTCCTCCTCTTGTTTCGCTTGCTGCGGTTCGTCGTCGGGCGTTGTCGATTCTTTTTCTTTGTTCGGATCAACGCGATAGTAATTCCACTCGTCTTCCGAATCCTCGCTGTCCGCTACATTATCCGCTTCAGGAATCAGCGCATGCTGAAGAGGTTCTGAAAACCGCACACAAAACTACATTAGCTATAAAAATTACATGTGATTTTCAATTGTAGGCGATCGCAAGTTTTCGCGATCAGGCTCTTTCGCCTGGTAACACCCCCTCTCTACGAGAAAAACACAGTAATCGAACCCTTTGCAGAACACAGTTGCTGAAAACAATGTTCACCGTCGAACATTGATAATTACAGACTAAACAAAATTTCGTTTTATCATTTCACAGATCCGTTCATAGTAAATTTTTACTCAAGGATGTTGTTTCCCAGATTATAAATCTGTTAGACAAACAGATCGGCTACCGGTGAGACAATTTCTTAAAAAATTGAAATTTTCGACACGGTTTCCAACGTCAAATTCGAGGAACTATCTTTCACCCAGGCTCTATCGAAATCGATACTCTGACATCCTCTTTGCGAGTTTCGCTTATTTTCCAAGCGCACTGTCCGTCCCACGAAGAGAGAAACGAAACGCGATTCGTTCGCGTTTAAATACGATTTTTATTCGCGATTACGCAAGAAGTTCGTTCTCGAACGCAACGCCCGAATCGGCGGAACGAGAAAACGACGGAAAAGAATCCGAGACCGCTCTCGCAATTCCCGATCGTTAACCGACCAGCAAAATTATGCAAAAACCCTTCGAAGCGCCCTCCCCGGTGCATCGCGAGGAGAGAGAGAGAGAGCATCGATTTTAAACGGAACGACTTCGCAGACACGATAAGCAAATTAAGCTCGCCGTGTCACGTAATTCACGACGGTAAACCGATCTCGATAACAAGATTACGCGGAGAGACTGAAAACCTAGACCGACCGAGAAACGTCGCCGCCGATAATCTCGGAATGATTAAACCTTCCGCGTTCGAATTCGCGACACAGCAGAGCAGGCCTTCCGTCACTGACACCGCGGCGTCCGATAATCCGGCAACGACCCTATATCGAGCCGAGCTAGACGCCGAGTTACGCAACTCCTGGCCAGCCCGGTTGCACAGAGCACGTCCACACTTCACTGGATCCTGGCAAGGCGGAACGTGTCGTCGACCAAGAAAACGCGGAATAGGGGTGCGGCAGAGTCGGTCGCGTGGCGGGTAGATACGCCCGGATCGCCCGGAAAAATCATTTACACGAGCGGGGAGGAGCGGTCAGGGAGAGAGAGAGAGAGAAATAAGGGATCGAACCGTGACGAACGGAGAAGAAAAACCAGTCCGAGGAGCGAGGAATCCAAAGGACGGGCCCACCGACGATCGATTCCACGTCTGCGTTCGATCGGATCAGCTGCTTTGGTCTGCGCAGAAAAAACGCGGATGCAAAACGAACCGGGCGGAGAACTGGAGAGAGAGAGAGAGAGGGAAGTAGAAATTGAGAGAGAGAAAGATAGGCAGTTCTCTGCAGTGGAACACGGTTTCGTTGCTGGTCGGAGAGTGTGCCGGTACTCACGAGTTCCAGGAGGAAACGAGCGGAATATCTGGCCGCAGGAGCGATCGTCGCCGACTAAGAGGAACTACGCCCGCCAAGAGATGCATTATCGATCTAGTCTAGAGCCCCCGGAGCACCCCTTCCTCGCCGGCCCTGCCACCACCCACCTGTACCACACCGTATAGCAACAGTCGCACCTCATCTCCGACAGGAACGCTGCTCCTGCGATTGGTCCTGGCACTGCACAAACTGACGCCCGCAATGTCTGCCATCGGGACACTGAATTCTACCGTTAACCCTTGCACGGTCTCCGGGTCCACCTTGACCCAGGTCGTCGCGCACCGTGCACTGCGATCACGCCAGCTAACTTGGACCGGCAGCGGTTGGTCGCGGCACGAAAACGGATTGAAAGTATGGTCGGGAATCTATGGGGTTCCGTTCGGGACCACACCGGTGTCGACGTTTACGGGTGAGCTTAACGTGTACGCCATCGTTCATTTTCTTTTTTCTCATTTTTTCTTGTGACGGTTTTTTAGGAGGATTTTTCTTCGAATTGATCACCAATTGTTGGGAATTTCTTGAAAGATTATTCGAAAGCTATAGTGGTTATCCATTATCGAGGGAATTATTGAAATGAATGTATTGTAACGAGCTCTTTTGAAATTATTAGTTGAAGTTGGACACGGTTCAGTTGTTAAATATTTACTGAACCTCTTAACCGCGGGCAAGCTTTTGATTTTCGACATGAAATTGCTGGCTAGTTCGATTTGTTGCAAGGATTTGTTCTAGGAATTTGATTGAAAAAGGATATAAAAAGGGAAACGAAAAAGAGTAAAAAGATTTTGTAGATTCTTTTTGCTAAATTTTGCAAAATATTCAGAACGCGAATTTCGCTTCGCCCGCGACTGAAAGATTACAGTTTCGCTGATGTTATATAAATGTTTCTCGGAGAAATTTTTAAACGAACTTCTTCGTTCTAGTTAACAGGGCGATTTGTCCGGTGGGTGAACACTTAAGCTGCATGTTTCTTAAAATGATCGTTACTTAATCCGCTGAACGATATTATCGTAAGTAATCTGTTTTGCTACTCTAAGCTCGTAAATCTCTGAACTAGCGTTTCCCAACAGTGGAATCTACAGTGGTGCGAATAATTATAGATTTAAAGGCAACTTTCACATTTTTAGCGAATTTAAACGCAAACTTAACAATTCATCATAATCGTACATTTCTATTATTTCCAATATTCGTACATTTCTATTATTTCCAATATGCGTATATTTATAATTTATAATATATAATTTATATAATATATAATTTTATAAATTATATATGTATAATTTATATAATATATATTATAATAATATATAATTTTATAAATATTATATATATAAATATGTTATAAATTATATATATATGTAATTTATAACTATAAATTCAAGAGAACTTTTACATTTTTACCGCTATTTAACAATATAGAAAATAGAAATACTCGAGCACGACCGCATTGTTAAGTTTGCAATTAAATATATAACTAAAAACAAAAAAATTGCTTCGAGTCTACAATCGCTCGCACCAACGTATCGCCAAATTTCCGTGCAAAAATTGCCGGGCAGTCTCGAACAATGAGACTTGACAGACGTGTTGGCACAGATGAAGCAGAAGGGGGATCAAGCTAGCCGACTTTTCCCTAAAATTTGTATGATCGTCCGAGTGGAACAATTGCCGTGGCGCAGTCGCTGAGCAGCCAGTGTCCAGAAAAATTGATGAATCGGGAGCGCATCCAGGAAAAATTGATGAGCAAGGCCGTCAAAAACGAGCAGGTCGCAAGGGTTGAGAGGGCACGAGCAACCGGTGTTCCATGAATTTCACTGTACCGATTTCGGATGGCAGCACTCCCTGGGTGATTGACCCATCACTGACCCGCAAAGGGTGGGCTCCCCAATGGCACGCCCTACCTTCTCTCCCTGCAGAGGTTTTGGGCTAGTTCAGGCATCTGCGGTTAATGCGCTCCGAATCCATGGGACCCTGTTCGCTGCAGGCTTCTCCACAATGGGAGCGCCGCAACCCGTCTTGCAATTCTCCCGAATTGTTCGATCTCGTTAATATTAGACACGCGGTGAATATTGCAGGTGCAGGATCTCCTGAATAGCTACGAAGCGTGTACACCTGCCATCGAACGACGGAACCAAATGAAAATGAGACATGACTGATCGAGACAATTTATTTCGGATCGTTCATATCAACGCTGTTATTTGAAAACGGGGAAATAACTATTTGAAATGATTCGCTTCAAACAATTGCACAGTGTTGCCGGGTAATGTGTATAAAACTCGAATATTTGTGTATTACAAATAATTAAAATCATTTTAATTTCTTTTTTAACGAATTTGTATATTTTTCAGGCGTCGATCGATGTATTTTTGTATTCTCTTTGAACAAAATTGTTAGTTTTGTCTCGTATGCGCATATACACGCGTCGCACTGTACATCATTTTCAATGCTGTTATTTGAGAATAGAAATAATATCGAACCAAATAATAGCAATTTTAAAAACATGAATGATTTCGTTAATTATTTCAAATTATTTCAAATGCGACGAAAATAATCTTTAATATTATATGCAACGAAAAGATTTTGTTTTAAGAAGTCTAACAAAATTACGTTTTATTTAACAGAATATTTCAGATGATGTCATTTCTAATAAAATTTTATAGTATTTATCAAATATTCCATACTTGAACTTTAATTTGAACATAGAATATGTCTGAGTCGGTTGAAATACTAATTAAATGAAGATGATGCACGATGATGTTTATAATTCTAATCATGTTTTACGACATTTATCAAATATTCCTTAATTAAACTTTAATTGTAACGTCGAATGTGTCAGAGATGGCTGAAGCATTGTGCAAATGCATGAATAGCGCACGATGATCGTAACTTAAAGGAAACATTTACAGGCTCTTAAGTGCCAATGACTGCAATCTACCAGCTCCAGGTTGAAAATATAATTGTTTATTAAAAGTTACTTTCGACTCGTTGAATAACACGATCGATAGTGTTTTATTTCGAGCATTCTTTTTTTCCTTGTAACAAGCTTTACATTGATATTTCAATTATGAAGCACAAGCGTTATGTCACTATCAAATAAATCATGGGTTTTCCTTCTCAGATAATGTACGATAATTGAAAATGGTCAGCAAGGAAATTGCTAGCTACTATGGAATAATTGCAACACTGAATGCGAAGAAGGATCACATTCCAGGAAAGAACATTTTTCCTTGTGGAAACTGAGGTGATTCTTTTTCTATGACAAGAAGCTGACGAAAACGAAACTCTTGCAACACGTAAACCGGAGATCAAACGATCATTAAATTGCCTTCGAAGGAACTAAAGTGTTAAATCAAAGTGCTAGATTTTAGCTGTTAACAGTAGATTGCGGGAGCGAGTCAATTTTGACTCATTTACGATTTTATTACTATATATATAGAATTATAACCAAAATATGTTTCAGTAAATTATTTAGGTTTTTCTGTATACGGGGTATCTCAAAAATGTCTCGCAATCCAGAAATGAGGGATTCCCGA